AGTGCAGGCTAGGAGAGTTAGCCGGTGGTGCAGGTCCCGGGACGCAGAGAGAGTTGAGGGCGGGGCCAGGACCAGAAGTGGTGCTCCTGGGGCCCAAGAAAGGCAGTCAGTTGGTCTGAGTGAGAAGGATCAGGAAGCAGCTATAGACATACCCCAAGAGGCCTGAGGATAGTAGTGCAGGCTAGGAGAGTTAGCCGGTGGTGCAGGTCCCGGGACGCAGAGAGAGTTGAGGGCGGGGCCAGGACCAGAAGCAGTGCTCCTGGAGCCCAAGAAAGGGACTGAGTTTGTCTGGGTTAGAAGGATCAGGAAGCAGTATTGGTTCCCCAGGTGTCTGGGGCACCAAGACTAGGAATGGCACAGGGCCCAATCTAGGAGTAGAGAACAGCAGGGGAGATGGAAGGGTGAATGAGGCTGGGGGAGTCAAGGTGCAGAGGGCCACGCGATAGACCTAGCCCAAGAGGCCTGAGGATAGGAGAGCAGGTTAGGAGAGTTAGCCGGTGGTGCAGGTCCAGGGAAGCAGAGAGAGGTGAGCACTTTCCACTTTTTATGTGGTGAAATGTGACCAACCAGCTTCCTGCTCCGGCCACCTGCTGTCATGCTTCTCTTGTCATTATGGACTCTCCCTCTGAAATTATAAGCCAAAATATGCTTTTCCTTCTATAAGTTGCTTTTGGTCATAGTATATTATTACAGCAACAGAGAAGTAACTAATACAGCACACAAGGGGAGCAAAGTAATCATCAGTCATAACCAGCTATGAACTCTGGGAGCTAAAATAACAACCAGCCCAGCAAGGTATGCCCACTGGTGCAATAGTGACATGAATGGGACTAACCATCCAACCTATGATTAAGGCCTACTTCATAAGATGGAGCCCAGTTCTGGCACTGGTATCAGGGTCAAGAACCTGTGATTACACAAGTTTGGGGCCACAAGGAAGAACCTACTACTATTTACCCTGCTAATGGACATAATATTAAACTAACACCTAATGACATTGTTATACCCATAGATTAATGCATCTCTCAATCTCAACAGAGAAGCTTCTTCTCACGGTAGATGACAGTTAGCACAAAGACCCACAGCTGGTTAACATGCAGAGAATAAGAGGCTGAAGAACGCTTGGCCCTAAATGGGACACATATATCACGCCCTGTCCTTCCAAGGCTCAGGGATCACTGCAGAGGAGGGGTGTATGCATGTAGAAAGATTGCAAGAGCCAGAGGTGGTAGATCAGTGTGACATTACTATGCCAACATTACAGTTAGACCCCAATAAACAGCCTTTTTTATCTTGTTTAAAATATTTTATTATTTTTATGTGTATGAGTGCATGTGTGTAAGTGCACCCGTGTCATGCAATGCCTGCAGAGATCAGGTGTTGGATTCCCCTGGAACTGGAGTTACATAAGGTTGTTTGCCACCATGTGGGTGCTGGGTCCTCTGGAAGAACAGTCAGTGCACTTAGCTGCTGAGCCACCTCTCCAGTCCCAACAGCCTGACCCTTAACTTTGGTTATGAGTGGGCCCATTCCTCCAGATGTCTCCTGGAACTGTGCTGTGGAGCGAGGCCTCACCAAAGTTTGATTCAAAACCATTTCTCCAGCTTCAATTGGGGAACTACCAACTTGAGCCCACCCTTATCAGACATTCTTGCCCTTTCATCCCTAAGCCTAAAACATCTCATACACACAATGCCAACCATTCTTCTCAATCTTCGTTGTTCTCAGTAAAGACACAAATATAAACGTGCTGTCTTTCAGCACTTTGATTTGTTAATTCTTAAGTACATGCTTTCACTATCTTGGGTGGAGTGCAAATTGCAGTTTCCAGGGATTAAGGTCAAGAACTCAGGTCACATGAGCACAGGGCCCAGTGAGCTGGTTTGCAGAAGTCATTAGTCTAAATTCTGTTCATTTTGTAAAATTCATTTCCTGTAGGTCAATACAAGGCAACCATGTTTTTAGGCACAACAGGAAAGTTGAAAGTATGAACCCACAGCACTTGTGACAGCATGTACAAGATCTATGCAGGCCCAAGCCAGACAAAATCCCACCATGGATGGCAGAGTTAGGCAAGAAGCTGAAGCCCTAGCTGAGGAATTATTAGCAACTGATAGTTTCAGGGGGGGGGTCCCTTTTCTTTAAAGGTATGACACCTGGTGGGCTGACCAGGCTCCAGGTGATGGACCCACACCCAAAGAATATTTGGGGAACACAAATTAGACTCTATACACCATTAAAAAAATAATAGCAGAAATGAAGTCAGAGGCATCGGGTGCGGGAATAATCTGGGGTTGGAGCTAAGGTAGGACATCTGAATATGATCAAAATAGATTGAAATTCTCAAAACAGAATCACAAAATGGAGTGGGGTCTTCTTACTGGTAGCACTAACATTAACCAAAAATTTGTTGAATCAGAAACACTGATGGTTTTGACAAACAGGCTGTGGTGTCCTAGAAGCCAGGAAATATGCATGATAATCTGGCCCTGTACAATGCTAATGTAGTGACAGACTGTGGAGAACCAACAGTTAGGGCATTAGTCTACTGACTCTGCTGCACATGACAATCATGTAAGAGAGGCCTGATGCCTAGGACAACCCACATCACTTAAGTCATTCTGGTCTTGGAACATAGATATTAATAACCCAGACTTTACAAGTGAGTTTTTAAAAATGCAGCTAAGTTTGAGGATAAATGCTTTTAGAGAGCATCAGGAGAGAATAACAGCCAGAGTGCAGCACACAACAGAGGCTTCCCTGAGACTTAAATCAAGGTATAAATCTCTCTAAATAAGCTTTTCCTCTGTAGACTTCCTTCCTCTTTACTTATGTAACCACTATGACTTTTCTTTGGTTTATTTCCAGAAAAATCCCTTCACACTTGAGAAAAATGAACACCAGTTCCTCTTATATTGTCCTAGAAACACTACTTTACAGGATGAGAATGACTTGAAGCTGCTGACTTGGTTAACAGTTATGCTATGATAAAAAGGCCCTTGGCAGGCCAGATGGCTCAGCAAGTGGAGGTGCTTGCCACTGGTCTGACCTGACTTCAGTGTCCAGGACCCACATGGTAGCAGGGAACCGCCAACTCCCACAGGTTGTCCTCTCTCCTCCATGTGTGCACAGTTGTGTGTGTGCACACACGCACACACCCTTACAAAATATAGATGAATAAAGTAATTTTTAAGCCCTCACTTTATATAGCTCATATTGTCAAAAAAGTAACATGGACACAGGTGTCCTTGATTATATTCTTAGCACGCACTGATTTTCCACAGGTCTTTCTGAAAAGCTAGACTTGCTTTCATCAGGAAAGATCTTCCACCTGGTGGCCAAACTTGGCAATGACAGTCATGCAGTGGCCTTACACCTGAGAAAAAAAGACATGACACAGTGCTCAACTAGAGGCAGAAGTTTGTACAGCTACCAGGACTCTAGATATGTCAGCTTCTAGCGAGCCTTATCCTGGTGCCCTCTATAGCAAAGAAGAACTTGTTTTCTAGTCGAATAGCTCAATAAATGTGTTGTTATTAATAGCCTTTAATAACATCAGGCAATAATTTAATACATTTGTAAGTTATTTTTTCTTATTATATATCTCATCGAGTGTTAATTTTTGTGGACCTACTTGTTTAGTTTGTAAAATGGTTAGGGAATTCATGTAAAGTGTTTAGGAACTTTCCAAGCATTCTTCTCACCAATAAAAATGAGGTTTCAAAACCATTATGCAAAGGAAATTTACTTGAAGACCATTTGAAGAATACCATTCGCTTTCAGTAAATTACACCTTGTTAGGAAGTTCAGATTAAAGGCTTAGAAGACAATAAATGATGACTTAAATTTTAATTGCAATAGTTTTAAGAAATTGTCCATAAGACTACTCTCATATATCACACAACACAAAAAGCACGAGGGAGAGGACATGCTTATGATCGTGACTGTGGTAATGATTGTGTGTGTCAACTTCACAGCAGACAACGTACATACAACTTATGTCAGTCCTTCATCAGTGAGGCTGGAGGGAGGTGTCATATAAAAGGCAACTTTTACATAATATGAAACCCTATAAATATGTATGGTAGGAGTCAATTTTTAGTCTTTTTGTGTTTGTTCATGATGTATGTATGCATATGCATGCACGAGGAGGCCAGAGGTCAACATCAGGTATCTTTCTCAGTTACTGACCACTTCACTTTTTGACGGTCTCTTGCTGAACCTGGAGCTCATCCATTCAGCTAGGTTGGCTGTCCAGTGAGCTGAATGGATGTACCTGCCTCCACGCCTCCCTAGTGCTGGGATTACAGATCTGTGCTGCCATGCCCAGATTTCTATGCTGTTGCTTGGGATCTGAACTCAGGGCCTCATAACTGTGCAGCAGGAAGTTTACTGACTGAGCCATCTCCCCAGCCCAGTTTTGTCTTTTAAAAGGGTAAATTCTCTCACTGCAAAAAGATACACACTCACATTTGTCTCCTTTCTCCTTAGAATGGGCAGCCGAACACAAGTCTACCCAAATGGATCCTTATTTATTGAATCAGTGACAGAAAAAGATGGCGGTGACTACTTGTGTGTGGCAAGGAACAAAATGGGAGATGATTTGATCCTGATGCATGTCAGTCTAAGATTGACACCTGCCAAAATTGACCACAAGCAGCACTTTAAGAAGCAAGTGCTTCATGGGAAAGCTTTCCAAGTCGACTGCAAAGCTTCTGGGTCCCCGGTGCCTGAGGTCTCCTGGAGTCTGCCTGATGGAACACTGATAAATAATGCAATGCAAGCCGATGACAGTGGCCACAGGACCAAAAGGTACACCCTTTTCCACAATGGAACCTTGTATTTCAACAAAGTTGGGGTTGCAGAAGAAGGAGATTATACTTGCTATGCCCAAAACACCTTAGGAAAGGATGAAATGAAAGTCCACCTAACAGTTATAACAGCCACCCCACGGATAAGGCAAGGCTCCAAGACCAATGTGAGGATCAGAGCTGGAGACAGAGCTGTCCTTGATTGTGAAGCCACTGGGGAACCTGCACCAAACATATTTTGGTTGCTGCCTTCCAGAGACAAAATTTCATTCTCCAACGATAGATACACGTTTCACGTCAATGGATCTTTGTCCATCAACAGAGTGAAACTGCTTGATTCCGGAGAGTATGTGTGTGTGGCTCGAAATCCCAGTGGCAATGACAGCAAAATGTACAAACTGGATGTTGTGTCCAAGCCTCCGTTAATCAATGGTCTGTACACAAACAAAACTGTTATTAAAGCTACAGCTGTCCGGCATTCCAAAAAACATTTAGACTGCAGAGTTGATGGGATGCCATCTCCTCAAATCATGTGGATCATGCCAGACAATATTTTCCTCACAGCTCCATACTATGGAAGCAGAATCACAGTCCATAAAAACGGAACCCTGGAGATCAGGAATGTGAGGCTTTCAGATTCAGCTGATTTCATCTGTGTGGCTCGGAACGAAGGAGGAGAGAGCGTGTTGGTGGTGCAGTTAGAAGTAATGGAGATGCTGAGAAGACCAACATTCAGAAATCCATTCAATGAAAAAGTCGTTGCTCAGCCTGGCAAATCCACAGCACTGAATTGTTCCGCTGATGGGAACCCACTCCCTGAAATAATCTGGATATTACCAAATGGCACACGATTTTCTAATGGACCACGAAGTTCCCCATATCTGATAGCAAGCAATGGTTCTCTCATCATTTATAAAGTAACTCGGAACAATTCAGGAAAATACCGCTGTGCAGCTAGAAATAAAGTCGGTTATATTGAGAAACTGATCCTGTTAGAAAGGGGACAGAAGCCTGTTATTCTTACATATGCACCAGGGATGGTAAGAGGTGTTGGTGGAGAATCACTGCCACTGCACTGCATGTCTGATGGAATTCCTAAGCCAAATGTTAAATGGACTACACCAAGTGGTTATGTAATAGATAGACCCCAGGTTAATGGAAGATATATACTGCATGAAAATGGCACATTGATCATCAAAGAAGCAACAGCTTATGACAGAGGAACTTATATTTGTAAGGCTCAAAACAGCGTTGGTCAGGCATTGATTACTGTTCCGGTAATGATTGTGGCCTATCCTCCCCGAATTATAAATCACCCACCCAGGAGCGTGCTCAGGAGGACAGGAGTAGCATTTCAGCTCCACTGTATGGCCCTGGGAGTCCCCAAGCCAGAAATCACCTGGGAGATGCCAGGCCACTCCCTGCTCTCAAAGGCAAGCAGAGGAAAGACCCAGGGAGGTGAGAGGCTTCACCCACAAGGTATCCTGGACATTCGGAATCCCCAAACCTCAGATTCTGGAGCATATAAATGCTTAGCCAAGAATCCACTTGGTAGTGATTATGCAACAACTCACATTCAAGTAATCTGACAGGAAGTAAAATGAAAATTGAACAAAGTCAACGTCTGAAGAGTTTCTTTTCTGGAAGAAGTTTAATCAAAGGCAGCCATAGGCATGTAAATGAATCTGAATACATTTACAATATTAAATTTACAATGGACATGCAAAAAAAGACTTGTAAATAAACGCATTATGAACTGATACTGAGTTTTTATGGATTTCAACACAAACTTTTAACTTAAGGCACTTTTTATTTTGCCAACAAATAACAAACATTTAAGAGAAAACGGTTCACTACAGAGTAACAAATGGCTAATGCACCTGAATTTTTCAGTAAAGAAGAGCTCTTCCTCTCGCTCCCAGTTGCCTAGTGTCCATCTTCCAGCAATGTTACAAGTGTGGCACTCAGGGTGGAGACAGGGGAAAGATTAAATTTTCAGTCTATGTAAATTTATCACCTTGATGTATAAATATTTTGTCATTTGTTTATAAACATTTTGATAAAACCTACAGGAAACAAGCTCTGAGCTGTCTTGATTATGATTTAGTTTACCATTTGTTCACATTGAAAATTCTCATCATTGGGGAATACAAAAGTGTTTTAATAGCTGCATTTAAAAACAAATGCAGGCTAACTTTCCACATGTAAAAAGCAATCGATGCTTGACGTCATAAAATGTGAAAAGGGGGTTGGCTACATCTTCGCCCAAATGCACTCGTTGAAAAGCTTTTAAAATACAATGAAACTTCTTTATAATTTTAAAATCTAGCTCAGGCACCCCTGGTTTGGAGCTGTCTATAAGAAAAAGTTTCTAAATAGGAATCACTTCATTACAAGCATTGTATTTCATTAACTAATTCCTTTTGAAATAAGAAAATGTTTGGGAGAGTCTAGATCTGGTATATATAATGAAGTTTCACTGTATTTAAATATGAATGTTGCCTTCTATAATTCACTGTACTTACACTATATGTTCAGTTCAACCTGAATGAATTTGGGGTTATCATATGACGCATTTCTTTATTACAGAGGCTGGGATTTTCCAGTGTCATCTCTCCAGCTTCTGTCCACTGTCCAAATATTCAGCTGTTTATGAATTACAGGAGCCTTGTAAGTTAAAAAAATCCATAGGCCTCGTTCAGTATGTTCAGCACATAAAGCTAAGTGATGATATTAGCTTGTGCCAATCATTTGAGACTTAAAGAGTAAATTCCCTTCACTGTGTGTTTATTACGCCCACTTTCACATACCTAATCTTTGTACTTACAAGAGGTCAAATGGTACTCAAAAGTGATTTCCCTCTACTTCTAGATGAAGATGGGTACATAAAACAACATACGCAGCCTTGTAAAGAACCAGGCTACAATGTAACTGATATGTGAAACATACATACAATATAATGTATGTTAAGAGCTTCTTATAGCCAGGAATCATGTCAGGTGTACCCAACTCCATCAGATTTTAAGGTCTTATCTTTAAGGAGAGCTGGGGTCTCTATATTATTCTAAGATAATTTCCTCTCAACCCACCAAGAAAATTACAAGGTTCTGCTACAGGGCTTTCCCCTATGATCACGTTAATACAATCACATGTGTTTGCTATGAAAAAAAAATAGTCTGCCAAAATAGATAATTAAGTGGGAGGAAATATGGCCAACTAAATGAAAACTTTCAGTTGTTTTTCTTAAAATTCACAGGGGGGAGAAAGCTCTAGGTTTTTCTTAAACCTCCCATAGCACTTCAGAACTCTAAGGCCTGACCTTGACTTACCTTCCTCTCCATAACAAACAAAACAAAACAAACATCAACAAAAGTATAACCCATAGCTTTCATGTGCAAAATGATTAATAAATTAACTTCTGCAAATTGTAAAGTGCATACAAATGCTATGCGACTGTAACACTCCTGCTGCTGTTTGTAATATTGAGCTACAAAAATATATGGTTCAAACTGAAACTGTAATCTTAACTACCAAAAACCCTTATAGAAAGCAGCAAGGATAGTCTATGACTCCGTCACTAGACACAACATTCACAATTCTGTGGTTTCGCCAGTGCGGTCATGTGGTGGATTACTTTGAAGAAAAATAACTTCATGAACTGTAAGAATGATTCTTGAGAAGAAAATAAACATGATATACAAGATCAGTTGAAATGTATTACTTCTTCTGAAAGGAGATAGAATGTGAATTTAGTGAAAAGAATGGTCTTTAATGTTTTGGCAAAGTCTTTCCCAGCCCAGAGTAAACACAAAACAAGCAGGCTGGCAGGAAATATTTCACAGTGTACAAAGCAGTTCACATGGATGTTGCCACAGCAAAGTAAGCTGACATGTATTTGAGGTCATTTGAATGAGTCAAACTTTGCAATGAGTAACTCACCCAGGAAGATATAAATTATTTATATAATGGTTTGCAAAAGAAATTACCTAAAGTTGTACTAGCTACATTTTAAAAAGTAGTTTCTACATGGTTTGTTCATCAGACAAATCTATTCACAGTATGATGCTTGACTACATTACATGTAAAAATCATATGGCAAAAAGAAGATGAATTAACACAGAACATGGGACATATCCTCTACATGTATCTTAAAATGCCCTGCAATTTTCACATTCAAAATTTTATGCATCTAAATCTAAAAAAATATTATATGGAATACTCTTAAGTTACACAAACTGATAATCATTTACTGTATTTTTAATCTAATAGGAGCAAATTACCACATACTTGAACAAAGTTAAAATAGTTATTATTTCTTTATAATAAATCTGATGTATAATTTACTTTACTTGTGCTTTCTGCACCAACTTATAAATACAGTATAAGCAATACACAACCAAGACTGACACCAACATTAATAATCAAATTCAAAATAGCAAATACTTACCGTACAAAATAAACAGCAAGTGCACCTTTGATGGATACCAGAGCCTTCTGAACTGTGGGGTAAGAGTCTCTGGAAACCAAGTCAAGTCTGAGCACTGCGGCAAGCTAAAGCCAGCCTGGAGGCTTTTTCCTCAAGTTGGCATGAGGTTCTGAAGAACCAAAAGTGATGGTCATTTTTTTCTTTTTTGAACCAAAACTGGCAGTAAATATATGGAATGACGCCACCGTGGTTCTTCTAGTCTGTAACAGTTGTACCTTCATGAAGACTCTGGTTAATAGTCTTTCCACTGGAGGCAGATCTGAGTGTAGCCACTTCCAGGTGGTCTCCACACACCTCAGGGTGGCTCTTGCAGAAGCCTTGAAGAAGTTTAAGTACTAAGCAACAATCTTTTTCAGCACCTTTTGACCACAACAAAAGCAAAGCAAAGTCTCACATAAATTAAGAGCAAAGTTTATAAAGTGCTTATGAAATTACCAACATTTCAAAATAGAGTGACATAAATAAACATTCACCTCACCATCACGGGTGAGTGCAAAACGAACGGGTCACACCCCTGTAAGACCTGCCGCATCTTTCCAATCAGTAGTTTGGTCCACCACAGGTTCAAAAAACCACCATGAAATGAATATATAAATATTTAAACCGACCAGAATTGATTCTTCCTGTAAATATGAGATTTTAAAAAGCACCAATTTCAAAAGGTTGGATACCATACTTTCTGGAGTAGTCGGCATGATCCACATTTTAAACCTACTTTTAAAGTTGAAGATGATAAAACCAAACCATGACTTCTCCTTTACTTCTTACTTAAATGCTTTTGCATGAAATGTAGCATAAAATACAGAGAAACGTAAAAGAAATGAAAGACCAAAGGGGCACTTTTCAGGGTTACTAATAACTTAGATTTTCTATTTTTCAGTGCAAACATAAAAGTGCATGTCTTCTCTTCCAGATTCAGAAGTGTGAAGGATGCCCATAGGGTGTCACCCCTTGTTGTGGCTGGTTACCTAAAGAGAAAAACAGACGAATAATTACAAATGAGGACACTACTGCAGATAAATGCTTCCCTTCTGGCCCTCCTCTCAGAAATAACCTCAGGTAGCGGGGAAGAGACTCACTGGCTAGAGTACAACTTTAATCCTGAAAGACCTTGGGGAAAGGATCCGAGAAGTACCCCAAGGACACTCTGCAGAGGGGCCAGCTTCACTAGGGAGTCCCACACCTGCCAACACAAGGGATTTGATAAACTGACCCACCCAAAGTGTCTCCCTCCAAACTAAGAGAACACTCAGCATGAGTGCACAGAAGGACTGTTTCATGTAACACTGGAAACTCTCAAATATTTATAAAAGCAAACGTCAGCAATTCTAAGACTGGCAGTATAAAAGGTAAATTCTAAGACTTGCAGTATAAAAGGTAAGAGCA